ATACGATGTGAGATATTTCAAAGAAATAACTATCGGCCGTGAATATCGCAACGATTTATAATTCCTCCCCTCTGCCGTTTAGATTCCGGCCTCGCGTAAGTAACTCACGTAAAATATATACCGATAAATTGCCTTCGATAAACAGGGAATACTTATAAATCACCCTCCATTCTTCATAGAATCCTAAACAGCTCAACGGTAACTTCATTTCCTTTCAACTTGATCGAACGTAATTTTGAAAGTTTGACTAGATTAGGTTTTTCAAAATAAAGTCTTTTCTTGTATTCTACGTAAATTCGTAACTCCAATTAAATGAAGGAACGCTCTTAAAAGATATAACTTGACTTTTTGTACTGCGGTCTCTCACGATTCCACGTCGACTCGCGTTACGAAAAATAAGTACGCGACGACTGAAGGGTTAATCAACGATAATCGCCGTTTGTGAAAGACCATCGCGTTTAGTATTCTTTGGTACTTGTCGCGAGTAACGCGACGACACACGGGGCGGCTCACGCCGTGCTATCCGACGACTCGGGTCTCGCGCGAATGATAGCAGACTGTGATTTTACGTAAACAATGAGCGTACCACGCGCTGTAATAACAGACACCAGGCCGTGCGTAAACCGGCTTGTTTTGCCCCGAGCACGAAATAAACAAAACATGCGCCGAATATTCTGCTCTGCCAATTTTTAAGTGTGCTATTGAAAAGCGGACGAGACGCGACTTCTCGAATCGTAAGAATCAGAGATAGAAAAAAGAAATTATAAATCTTATTTACCGCCAATTGTTATCTCCCTAATATACTTCGCATCGCGTATTCTTTAAATCTTTCGCAATTTAAGTGTAATTTGTCATCGTTTTCGAATGCACTAAGTGGAATAAGTTCGGTTATTAACGGAATATCGCGGCGATGAATTAATTCCATATCGAGCAGCGTTGCGACACTTCTAGTAATTAAATACAGTTAGTTAATAAATATATTTTTTTAATATATTCGTATCAATCCCGCGGCATTAACGTGGCGTTTGTACCTCGGTGATTCGTTAATAAGTCACTTTAGATTCGTTGCATCAACTTTTCTCACGTAGTTCTCTTACAATGCGAGACGCACACGTTACGTGATTAGAGACGGAAGTGCATAAAATATCGCGCGGCCGTAATTAACTATGTTTGTGCAAGTGAATATTGTGTGGACGAAACTCTGCGAGAGGTTTCGTCGCGATGGAAAAGTGTCGTCTCGAAAGATAACGCGAAGATTCACGGGGCGTCGCGCGAATAATAGCACGTGAACTTGCGTACGTTTACAAATCTGTGACCGCGCGAGCTGACGATAAGAACCGTTTTATCACAACAATTGCAAGGCGCGACAGCGTTTGGTATCGTTTAATACTTGTCGCGATCACGTCTCGAGAGGTAATACGAGGATCCACGGAGCGTCGCGCGCCGTTACCTGCTCGCTCGAGCGTCCGAGGGTGAATGGTAGCGCGTCGGCTTTGTTTATCGATAACAGCCGCGCGCCAAACATGCCAAGGTCGCGTGCCTCATACACAGTGCCGAAATAATATTCAACTACAAAATAAGCAGAGACTGAATAATCGTTGCGTTTCAAATATTCTTTCATGAGCGAGTTCTTATTTTCGCTTTCTCTTTCGTAGACTCGTTAATAGCTCACCTGTATCTCACAGTGAGATGTCTTCGTTGTCACGATAAACGATTAATCTCGCGCAATTCAATCACGTCGATCACTTACGACGGACGACTCGTACGATTTGTTCTTTCAAAACCGTACGCGGGAGAGTTTTCTCTTAAAATTTATCCTGAAAATCATGTAATCGTGGGACAACTTGGAGTTTTTTGAAATTTTACCACTTTTCACTAGTAAAATGTATCGTCAAATAGCGCCAACTAAACTGAATATTTATACAAACTAGGTACTTTATTATTTTTTATATTTAAATGTGATATCCGAACAATCGAGCATAAAATTTTATCGTATCGTAATGAGACAAATTTTTAATACTTATCCAATAAAAATATAATGCAAACAAATTTAACACAAATAAATATTTTATTAAAGGATCGTCTTTCCTACTTCAATTGTGGGATACATATCGGTCCTGATTCATGACATTCTACTAGTAAAATGTATGGTAAAATTTCAAAAAGCTATCACCAAGTTGTTCAAAATGCCATGTTCCACGAGTACACGATTTTCAGTAAATTTTAAAAGAAAATCCTCTCCGAGTACAGAACGAGAGTTAAAAGTTATTGTTTCGTGATAATAACGAAAATTATTCGTTTAATTGATGCTTCAATTTAAATAGATATCACATCGCGCTTCGAATTTCTCACAGATTTAAATGTAATACGCTTATCATTTGGACATCTGGAACTATATATTATATTAAAAATCCTTCGTGGAAGAAAGCTACTTCTTTCGCTTTTAATAAAGAAGAAACCATCGGGATTGCACCGTGCGATCGTCGTATTCTGATAGTACGTGCGCGATCGTAATTAACTATGTTTTTGCAGGCGAACGAAACTCTCCGAGAAGAAAAGGAGTCATCGGGCGATGATGGAACAACCGTAGTCCGAGTAATTTATTATACGGCCTCATCATCTTTCAGGATTTTTTACTTTAATTAATCTCTTAAATATATGCCATTAAACTTTTATGTAGCTGAACATTGTATATAACATGTAAACGGCTTTTATAATGCGTAATAATATGAATATGAAATATTAAGTTAAATAAAAAGAATAGTTCATGGAAGATACTTTCGATGAAACTGTCGAATTTGACAAATTCTGAAACCTTTGATCGAGAAAACAATTCATCAAAAGAAAATTTAGCCCCACGCAGATTTATGAGTACAACTTCAGCGCAGTCGTTATCGCATTTTGCAAGCGAGAAAAGCCAATCGAATGTATAAAAGTCCGCGTAAAAAAGCAGAGTGTCCGAACGTGAGCAGGACGACCCGCGATAAAACCTGCATCGGCACTGTCGAACAAACTACCGACGGCTACGATATCGCGGCTATTTATTTCGACGGGGTCGCATTGGTCTTCCACCGAACTTTATCCTCGAAACAATTCTACGACCGAGAGTTACGGAGATCCGTATTTCGCTTCCAGCTTCGCTTCCTGATAAAAGCGCCGGTCGAAAAATTCAAGAGATACGGGAAGCGCCGAGTAATTTATATCGCCTTCTCGAGTAGCGTGGGAAAAAAAAAGCGGAGCATCCTAACCCGATAAATTTGGATTTTCTCGAAGAAGAAACCATTTTAAAACCCGAGCAAAGACGCGAGTAGGTTTTTTATGCCGTTAAATATATTTAAAGGTTCCGACTATATCTTTCAATTGCTCTATCTTTTCTCATTGAATCAACGAAAATACGCAATACCGTTCGTGAAGTTAAAACTAAAAATTATATCGACGATGAAGAAAATTCAAACTAAAAAAATAGAACGGTCGCGCGTGTGCAGGATCTCTGGCTAGCCTACTCCTTATTCTTTCTTTTTCACCGAGAAGAAAGGTATCGCGCCGAGAAGGATAGAGAGTACGTGGCCGGCCACATAGTACGTACAAAATCCGGCTCCAAGCTGGGGTAAGATAATAAATATGCAAAAAGGAGGAGTTCCGATGCCGTAAATAAAAACGGCGGGCTTGCGTGCTGCGCGAGAGTCTGCGGCGAGAGAGGATCCGAAATAAAAGGACGGCAGGGTGGTGTAACAGAGGGTGGAGGAATGCGAAAAGGAGGGAGAGCGGGAGAGGAGGCAGAAATCTACTGCATTCTCCACCTTCGTCTGCGAGAAGTCAAACGCGTGTTGTAATCTCTTGATTTAGTTCGACTTAGCTACGATGAATGCGTCTAGTCGGTACTTTGTCGATTGGGCGAGTTAAGTTCCGAGGCGAGGCGACAAATCAGGACGGATGGGCAGCGTTATAGGCGGTTGGATCGGTATCGCGGCGGTCGGGCAATCATTCGGCGGCGATGTTCGCGGAGGGACACTCACCGTCCGGCGGAAGACTGCGCGCGGCGTGAGGAAATTTCGGAAGCGGCGAGATTCCTCATCGATCTCGAGCTCGTTCGAAACGCCATTCATAGCGCGCAGTCCCCGGAGCTGCTTGCGTTGACATTCATTTGCGTCTGTTCCGAATAATTCGTCTAATCAAGGTGCCGATCATTTTTCATTCGACACGCGTTTTTTAAAAAATCTTAAGCATAACGTGAAAAATATCATATACAAAAATTTTCCACACGGAGAGAATTTTCCCTGAAAATCGTGAGACAACGTGGCATTTTAAACAACTTTACGAGAGCTCTTTAAAGTTTCACTATACATTCTACTAGTAAAATGTACGGTAAAATGTCACAAAATTCTTCGAAACGTCACGTCGGCCCACGATTACATGATTTTCAGGATAAATTCTCAGAGAAAATTCTTTCCGTGTAAGTACGTCACGTATGAACGTTGTTTTATTAAAATTCAAGATGACTCCAAGAGTGAGATCACAGACATATTCGCGCGATTTGTCCGAGCAACACCATTTTATTACTGAAATGAATTAATTAAAATTCATATTGTATGAAAAGCGATCTTGTACCGCTTACGAAACAAAAGCGAGGCGATCTGTATGAGAAGTGTCTGTTTTATCGCGGAGTAAAAGCTGCGTATTTGTAATCCGTTGGACCAGCACAGAAATATAATACAATAATTTCGGACACGTACCCACGCACGCATAAAATTCGAACGAGGGTGAATCAAGTGCCGTGATAATCGCGGTAACGTTGTTACAAACTTCTACCCTCGTTTACTCAGCGCTGTCGTTTTGCGCAATAATGTTCGCCGGTTAATACGCAACTTTAATCGGGCATTACAACGTAACAGCGTGTAATAGGTAGCGCTCCATCGCGTTATACGCCGCGCAGACAAATCGATAGATCATCCCCGGTCGCGTACGCGCCAGGGTATCGCTACAGGGTATTTCGCACTCACCTGCACCCGCTGTCGATGCCGATCTTGTTTCCGCTGCCGCCTCTCCAGTTCCTCCTTCCTCTCGATCAGCGACCTTATCTCGACAGCCGCCACGGGAGCCGTCGTATCGTCGGGCACGTTGCCGCACGAGGGTAATCTTCTCAACGTTGAAATCGGCTCCTCCTCCCCCTCGCTGTAACTCTCTACCAGGAGCTCCGAGTCGCTCTGGAAGTGAATTAATCCCGTTCCCGGATAACGAGTCGTGGCAGCGATCGGATTTAACGGATCCGACGGGAAAGATCCCCGCTCTTCGATTTTCGCTTCGACATTTCGTAATCGGCCCCTTCGTCATTGTTTACGGGATTCCACGAACTCTCGATACTTCGCGCGATATATCCACTTTGACTATGACGTAGAGGAAAGTCCCCTATTACGAGACCGGTTTCTAATATGAGACAGCGGAGATTCTACTAAATTAATAGGCATCGTCTGTTGGCTCCACCAATTTATTGCCCTTGGAGCGAGATCCGTTTAGTGGAAAATTCATTGTTAGATTGTGTACTCCGCCGCGAGAGAAAAGTGTAAGTGAAGTTGAAAAGCTGCTATCCTATATTAGAAGCTTATCTCTTAATAGATGACTTTCCTCTATACACGCGAGATGCGTCGGCTAAAGATAATTTTGTAAGATAGTCTACGGTAAAAAGATAATTTTTTGACCGACCACGGTCGGTTCCTTTGTTGCCTCCAAAATCATTTCGCGGAACTGCAAGCGCGCCCGAATGCGTTTTCTTTAGAAGCAAGGGTAGGCGGGGACTAGATTTACGACAGTTACCACGTACCTGTGTCGGCGGCGAACTCGGCGAACTCGTGCTCGAAGCCTCGACCACGGAAACATATTCGCTGACGCCGGTCTCGCTTTTCTGCAATTTCAGCACCGGTGTCTCCAAGCCGCACAAGAACACTTGACCGAAGAAGAGGATCTTGCTTATCCTGAGGCACATCTGAGCCACTTCCTGAAAACACGTCGCGAGTTTACCCATGCGATGGAAGTCGGGCGATGCCGCGCGGATGCCCCGGGTACAAACACTGGTGCACTAAAAGTCCTACCGGGACTTTGAAATATCTCGAGACACGGGGGGGCTCTGTTTCAAGCTTGCTTGCGAAGTTTGTTACCAACAAGGGGCACGAGTCTCGCAGATAATGCGCATCAGCGCGATCGTCGAAGACGTAACGTGTAATGTGAATTACCATATCTTCCGTTTTCTCCACGTAGCACGGGTCCTGCGGATTCAGCATGAGAGGAGTGAATCCGGCCAGCGTGATATCTTCCGGTAGTTTAACGAGTTCCAGGCCTGAAATCAAACGTAGAGATCCGGTCACATCCTTTATGCACGAGGACCGATGCTCGATACAGAAAGTTTTGCGATCGTGCCAAATCAGATCCTCTTTCAGAAGCATACGGACCCTGAATTCGCGCGACCGACGACGTACGGAGATCTGTATCACGTATCGCGAAAGGAGCTCGGACGTTTATGCGGCACGATTTAAAATCGACAGAGCGCGCTCGCGGTTCAAACGATCCGTTGTCTGTCGTGCGCGGCGTTAAGATTTTACAACGCACACACGGGCGTAGATAAATTGTCAACGATATAAAAATTGCCACGTCCGAGTCGAAATTTTGGCCCCGTGTTGAACCTTTAATTCTATTATACGACAGTAAAAGAGGTCGAACTGCAAGTATAAAATTTACTCCTACTTTAAAACTGATAGTGTCGGAAATTTCTACTTTTGCCAAGCTAGCATTAAAGTGGGTCCTTTTAAGTAGGAGCTAAAGTAAATTTTTAGAATTTTAAAGATTCGAGGGAGGAGTAAAAAAATATAATGTCATCAAAGTAGGTTATTACTGGTCTATGTAGGTGTAATCTTAGATCTTTTTACTTAGATCAGCTATTAATTAGGTGTAAATTATCCTTAAAAGTGTCAAAATGGTACCAAAATTGCGACTCGAGACCTTGCAATAAAATTGTATAACGTTGATCGTTGGATACTTTGACGCGAAGAGTTTTCTAAATTCTTCGTACACATGAATTTTGCATCTACACCCTGAAAAAATCTATCCCAAGCAAACATTAGCGGGAATAAACGAATGAGCAATTCCTTCAGTGCAAACTCATTCTCGCAAGTATAATAGAAGTGGCCTATTATGAGATAGGCTGCTAATATGAGATAGTGGGGGTTTCTGTTCAATTAATAGGCATCATCTGTTGATTCCACCATTAATTTATTGCCCTTGGAGCGAAATCTGTTTAGTGGAAAATTCATTGTTAGATTGTGTAATCGTTGCGAAAGATTTGAGATTGAATTTGAAAACCTGCTATCTCATATTAGAAACCAATCTCGTAATAGAGGACTTTCCTCTACTGACACCGCCGTCCGAATTCGTCAATACAAGTTGTTCATCATGAACCCGGTTTTAAACGCAAATATCAAAAGATTGTTTAAATTTAAACAATCAATTGTGGATAAACTCAATTAACTGTTAACGACTTCGGAGCAGGCAAAGGTAGCGTTAACGAAAGGCCGCGATCGGATTACGGCTCTGACGAACTTATTAATGCCAGTCAGCCGTACCCTCGCCGATATGTGCGTAACGATATTCGCTATGAGCCACGCGTATTGACGTCCGCACATACGTACTCGGTTTAGAGGTAAGTGTACCGCGAGCAAGGACGCGCCGTGAAACTGGAACGCGCGTTTCCAGGCGACCGGACCCGTTGGAAGACCCAGTTCGAGACCGAACTCGCGATCAAGTTTAGTGATCTGTCAAAAATAGAAATATCCGCCGTATTCCGCTCGCGAAAAGCGTACGCGTTCGCGATCGACCACTGTGGTTCTTGACGGCCTGCCAGTGATCGTTGACAACTATCAGCGAACAATCGGTTGTAGGTTCACTACAAAGCCGACGGGATAAAAAGTAGTTTTGGTACCGAAGAATATAAGAATGTAGCCCCAATCATTTTAACGATAATATAACGCTCTGACTCTTTGCCTCTAAATATTGGAGAACCGTTGATGCGATATTCTTCTCGGGCTAAAATGAAGCCGAAAAGATGAAGGCCCGTATTCTGGACCCTCTTTTATCAATAAAAGCGCCCGTAAAAGTGCCAATAAGCCATCTGATTGGCTACAAGCGGTGCCGTTACTAGGCGGTATGCGATGTACGCTCCAGCGTAGGGCGCAAAATTTGGAGGTACGCGCGAGTGAGTCTCAGCGTAGGGGCGCCTAAGGTCCGGTTTCACCAATGTTGTTTAAACTTAACTTAATTTACAGCTTCAAGTATGTTTGACCATAGGAGAGTTTGCTTACCGTCAGTAATGATTAAAAATTGAGTGTGGAAACTTATAGTCAACCCAACTGGCTAGTTACTTTATTAGTTTACCACGTCTCGACCCTATTTTTTGGGTCCTCTTCAAGTGGTACTGCAAATCAACAACTAACCAAAGTCCGAATAATTAATTTCATAGTCAAAGGTTAAAAAATAATTACACTGTTAAAGACAATACCTGAGCTTAATTCGTTCTTTGTCTCTTTTCAACTGTTACTTTAGAAAATGAATTAAATTAAGATTTTAAAGTTAAGCGACGTTTGGTGAAACGTTCTTAAGCATGTTGTAACGTCACCGTTGATGCCGTTACAAGACGGTATACAATACGCTCTAGCGTAGGGCGCAAAATTTGGAGGAGTGCGCGAGCGAGTCCCAGCGTAGGGTCGCTTAAGCACGTTGTAACGTCACCGACTACAGGTCACTTTTAGAAACGCTTTTGTCGATAGAAAAGAAATCAGAATACGGGCCTAAATCTATGCTATTTTACAGAGTGTAAAATAATGAACTGTCATCGGTTTTACATCCACAGCTCGAAGAGCTGGACGATCCGGCCGGATGAATCGCCGATGCGTGCTAAATTCGTACGGTCGCCGGAAAATCTGCGGAAGATCGCAAAGCCGGGTCGTCTTCGTGGCGAGGTCCACGCGTGAATGGGCTTCGAGGCAATGCAATTTGTGTATTCATAACATGCGCCGCGGCAATGCATATAGTGGCGATGTGGCTCGCACGCACGCTGAAAGACCATTGGCCAGCACGCTAGTAAAACGGCTGCAAGAGAATGGCATTGCAGTGGTCATGTCGAACGTATTCACCGTTACGCAACCGTCGCGCCAGCTATCTACGGGTCAACAGACCGGGCACCGACTTCACCGACTTCGAGGAACGCGACTTTTTCGATTAAGTCTGGTCCAGGTCAGCCCGCGAGAATCGCTCGCATCTCATCCGCGCGTTCCGATCGGTGGCCATTTCTCTCGCTGTTCGCGCGCGCTTAATCAGCGTGAACGTCATCGAAATGCCGCAATAAGTAATGCATTTTATTACTATTGGTTGCTAATAATTTACCGACGAGAGATATATTTCGGAGTCGTCAGCTGCGAATAAAATATTACTCTTAGAGTTGACAGCAGAAAATAGAAATAATGTCGAAAATATTCTTCGAGGGTGAATTTATCGACTAAGTTGTCGGAAAATAATAAATGTTCGATAAATCTTTCGTCAGCAAAGTAGTCATTTATATATATATTAAATAACATTAAGGAATTTGTATTTAAAGTTTCTATGATATCCTTTTTCGAATTATTTGCGTTCCGCTCTTATCAACTATTCAGTGCTACCGAACTGACTTTCCTTCACACAGTCGAGTACATTCCCTTACCTTCCACGCGATCTTCCGTGTCCTTGCCTTGAATCAGAGTCGTTCTGGTGTAATTTAATTTCTCTAGAAGATTCACCATCGTCGCCAGTCTGCTCCACGCGTCTCCCGGCGGGCTGTAACAAACGAGAGGATAGAATTAAACCTCCAAGTTTTGTAACATTCATTAAGATCCGAGGGGATCGCTCGCGGCTGCACGTCACGATAAAAGTCCAGCGTGATTTGGACAAAACTCAGGCGAATTCGATCGTTCGTCTAATACATAATTCAAACGCCGAGAGCGAGGAAGGAATTCGATAATGCCAAGGTCTAATTTCTTTCTACGTTTTAGCCGATTAGACCGAGCTCCCTTCCAAGTCCGAGCCCATCGATCGAGTGATTTATCATTTGCGCCGCATTCAGATGAGATATAACGATCTCTGATTCCCCAAAATTATACATTTTTTTTTTACTAGACTTTCCTGCATCGCTCGACGCCACCTCGGCGCCGCGAGGCCGACGAACTTCTCTTACATCTCGAGATAATATTCGGGACTAATTTTCTACGGGTTTCAGATTCCTCATTATTGTTTTTGTAAGAGTGACGGCGTAAGTGCCCGGACAGCTCGCGAGGTTTGCCGGCTGTGCAAACAACACTTGCTCAAGCATTGGCTTGTAAAAAAAAAAATAAATAAATAATCAGGCAAATTGCTGCTTGGCTTTCTTTGCCACCGGCTACCTGGCGTACACTTAACGCGCGGTAAACATTTTCGGTTCTGGATCACTCGTCACGCGACGAATTCTTGCCACAAGGGGTACAATTACCGCATCCGACGTGACCGAGGCCCCCGATGAAATTCCGTTTGCCGAAAACAAAGTTTCGATGCGTCGCACGAAAACCGCGTCGGGATAGCCGGCGAGATTCGCGGCTTCCGCGTGCGATCGCGGCGGGACGCACGTTGAATTTTCGCACGCCTCCGCGTGGGACGTGGCGCGATTTCGCGCAGGCTACGGTGAGATACATAAATCTGCGATCCGAATGAGCGCGATTGGAAGAAGAAAATAAAAAGGGACAAAACGGGCGGCGCGGATAAAATTTATATCCGCAACCATTTGTGGCGCGAAGGAGGCGGCGGACGTGGGCCCTCGCGCGAACATGATATATCCCCGCGCGACTATTCATTATCAATGTCGAGAATTACATATTGGAAATTATTGCGGCAGGGAAGGGGGACCCGCGCGCGCGTAATGCGCGCGGCGGATAATAATAATAATAGATCACGGATTTATACATTTAATGTACTTCGTATGACCGGCGGCCCGCTCGTTCCACCGACGTTATTAACGACTTACCCGCGGCAGGGCATACGTTTTCCATTCGCCACTTCCGTATTACTGTAAAGCCAAAGTCGCTCGTTCAATTAATTCTTTCGTTGCGCGTAGCGGGCCCCGAGATCGCGCAAATTCTCACCGTGCGAAACAAGAGCAACCTGAAAGAATGCGCAATGCCGGAAATGCGCGGCGGTTATATTCCGCGTGTTAGTGCCTCGTCACGATGTAAAGCGACATTACTTATTGCTCGCCTCGCGATTGCGAAAGAGGAACGGGCTTGGCTATAAATTTTTAGCGCGTAAACCCCGTCGTCCCGACGTGGCGGCCACGGAATCTCAATGATACACGTGCGACGACGACGGCGACGACGGAGATCACGTGAGAAGGGGGCAACCATACCGATCGCTTAATTTTCGCGACGGAGGTGCGTGCGGTCCCCGGCGCGATTAATCGGCCGGCGTCGTTAAAGGTCATCGGTTAATCGTGTCTGCCATGGGGCCTCGCCGTCGCGCGGGTCCGCGTCCGCGTTGAATCGTCGCGCGCCGCTCCGAGTGCAACGGCGATCAAGATCGAGAGAGGATCCCGCGCTGCGCGGCGTCCTTGCCAAGGAAACGCTTGACTCACGTAATTGTTAATCGCTAACGAGCAACAATGATTAACCTATCCCAGGCAGATAGTAGCCATTGGTTACGCAAAAAAAAAAAAACACTTGCGTTACGAGACGTTACGAGCGAGAGAGAGCGAGAGAGCGCGCGCGCGCGAGAGAGAGAGAGAGAGAGAACGAGAGACGGAGAGCAAGAGTAAGAGGGGAAGAGGGAGCCTTGAGGCTCGTTTAATGGACAGTAGATTGCATCAGTCGGACAAGCGTGACTCTCGCGCTCTTATCCCCCTCTCTCTCTCTCTGTCTCTCTTACCGGCTCTTATTCTTCTTTTATTTTATCTCATTAGCGAAACTCGCGCCGAGAAGCCGACGACGCGCCGTGCGTCGATAAGATGGACGGCGCACTGCTCTTTCTCTCTCTCTCTCTCTCTTTCTTTCTTTCTCCTCCCTGGTCTTCTTCGCAAGCGCGCACGAAGCCCCGCGCATCAAAAAGTATTCGCTCACGTTTGCGTATGATCAATTCGAAACGCGCCGGCCCGGCCCCTTTGTGAAACGCCCGGCCTGCGGGGTCCCTCGAGAGCACCGGGCAGGGCGTCGTGGGTTTTCCCCGTGCTCTTCTTAGGTCCCTTATTTAATGGCGTGATTCAGCACGGGGCACGCCGCAATTCGGGGGCCCAACGGGCTCGCGCCGGGTGTGCGGGAAGGTAAAGCTCTCAAATCGATGTCTCATTATTCGCACGAGTTCAGCAAGTGGAAAATTATCAGGTAAAATTGAATTAAGTGAATATATATTGGATGAAAATACTGCGATCAAAGGACATCGTCCGTTAAAATCCACGATATTAATATCTTATACAATTTCTCTATATTATAAATCAATTAAGTAGTGTTTCCGCGATTGTTGATTTTTCCGATTAAATCATATATAATACAATGAAATTTATCCGATGAAATTGGATTATCCGATTGTATTTAATCGGATACTTTTCTCAGTCCGGTAATTTATGTAACTCTCGAAATGCTAGAAACACTATCAGACATAAATTAACGTGACACTTGAGCATCTCGCGCCAGTGACCTCAGTGCCCAGCACGCCAATCCGTTCTTTTCCCCCCTTTCTCCGAGACTTTGTCAATCAAATTGCGGCAGCGGTACAAGAGTTATGAATCGGAAACGGAGCGAGAGGCATTACAATCACGAACACGTGTCGCCGCGCCACGGGAACACACGTCCGACCGCCCCGCGGGTGTCGCGAGACGTCTTTACCCGCGAGAGTTTCTCACACACCGCGCGCGCGATTCGCCGGGGCGCATCACCGCGCGAAGAAATTAATAGTCCGATACAACAGCCATAATTCAAAACACCTCAAGTGTCAACCTGAATTAATAGTCGCTACGCGCAGCTGCGACGAAGCGACCCGTGGCCGAATGCGGCGCGCGAGTCGGCGTGGAGAGAGAGAGCCACCCTACAAATCTCCTTCCCTCATCCCTCCCTCCTCGGAGGACTAATCCGTTCGACAAAGGCGCGACGTGGACCGCCGATATCTCGCAGCATCCACGCGAGCAAGCCCGCTCTCTCTCCCTCCGCCTCTCTCTCACCCCGTCTCTCCCTATCTCTCCCGATCTCTCCCGATCTCTCCCTGTCTCTCCCGGTCTCTTCCTGTTTCTCCGTGTCTCTCGGTTTCTTCGTGTCTCTCCCTGTCTCTCTACGTCTCTCCGTGTCTCTCCCTGTCTCTTCCCCCCCCCCTCTCTCTCTCTCTCTCTCCCGTTGTGAAATCAGAACAGATATGCGGTAATAATTAAAGCGGGGCGGTAAATTATGTATATATTCACGGCGAGAGAGAAGCGATGGTGGAAAACAGTGCCGCGGGAAACCTGTGCGAGACGCGCGCGACTCGCGAGAAGATCGAGCCTCGATACGATGCAGCGGTTGACCGTGACCTACGCCACGCTCGCTTCCATCACGTCCTCCCCGTTCCCTCCTGCCCCTCGTGAGATATCGGCTCTCGCTAGAACACACTCGCGTCTATTTAAGCATGGCACGGCCGATCGAATGAAACGTATGCGGGAATTTAACGCGCCCTTGTTGCCAATTTGTCGCTCCTCCTCCCCCCCCCCTCCTCTCTCGATTTTACACGTCGTTCCGCTTCGTTGAAAACAGTAGTCAGCCAAAATTCACAGGTGGCGCAAAAACAGGAAGATTTTTGAAAGCCGATAGGCGCGCCCGGAGCATCTTCGCACGAGTCTATAATTTATCTCGATAGTTAAATATGATTAGATTTCGATAGCACTTTGCACGCTAATGATCTGTCCCGCTCCCAGAATCGAAATTATCCCGAGGCCAGCCGTCATTGAGCATGATCGCGCTACGTGCTGAATGCCTCGCGACAGTTACGAGCCCGCGGCTAAAGACGTTCGGATAACAATTATTCTCGTATTAATATCGTCTTTCGCGCTAATCTCCCGATTTATAAGGTCCTAAAGCGTATTCGGGAATGATTAATTTCAAGATTTACATTTAATTTACAGTTTATTTATCGATATCGAGTGCTGTAAGAAACGACTAGAGACGACAGAGTCACTTAATCACTACACCCAGAAAAAATATATAGGCCGGTATTCATAGTCAAATCTTATATTTAAGGCCGTCTACAGATCATCATCGGATACCCCATCGTCAATAAAAAGTTCCATACAATATCTTTAGATAAATTCAAGATGGTCTTGAATATAAGATCTGACTGTGAATACTGGCCTTAGGTTAAACAAATGAGATACGTCATGTTTCTTTGAATCTACTAAATTTTTATTTACTTCTACTAAAACACTTGCTAGATTTGAAGAAATAGATATGAATTCTCTTAAAAATTCCAGTCTCAATCAAATAAAATTTTAGTTGAGTAAAGAAATCATTTCTTTGAAATTGAATAAAAATCTGGTAAAGTCAAAATTTGATTTTAAACAGACTTTTTCTGGGTGTAAGTTGTCGTTAAATACGTTCTTTTAATCAGACATGCTTAATTATGAAAATTATAAAAAAGTTTTATCTACTTGGATCTCAAAAATTACGTTTAATTTATGTGTAATTATTTGAATTATTGTTAGTGTCATATTTGTAACTTTCTCGTTACGTGAATTACACGGTAATAATAATTATTATTAAGCTCAAACAGATAATAGGAATACGTGTAAATTATTCCAAATAGCAATTATTATATTAATAAATAGATGCCTGAATCCCTCACTCGAACCCTTCGCAATTCATCATCCCCGACATCGCATGTCGGCCTCAGCGAGTGCAGATTTTTACGCAACGTAAATTCCCCCGCAAATGTCGCATTCCCTGGGAGCCGATTCAAGCCACGCGAACCACAAAACCAGGATCGGAAAGTTCAAGATACGTCGAACATTTCTGTCGCACGCTACAATCCTGGGCGCACGCGATATTCACGCGCCAGCGTCTAACTCTAATCCCGAAGGTATGACTCGGCGACGCGCGGTTAACGCGCGTAGCAAAGTTGTAATTAATCCAAGACACAGGGCGGTCCGTGAGCTAAGCGAAATTTACGTTGCGAAACAATATAAAGAGATTAGGGACGAACAGGTACGGTGACTAAAGGCCGCGTGCACGCAAATCTCATTTTCCCTTATTGAGTTTAAGATTAAGAAACTTACCCGACTCTGTAATCCGTGCAAGACGGCGGAGGATTCCAAACGGTGCTGTGGCAGAGCATCCAGTCGCACCAGATCTGCGGAAGCAAACGTGATAGCATAGTAAAGTTTACAGCCCGTCAATTTCCACGTGTATGTAGGCAGCTAGGGCTAACGAAATGTCGCGATATCCACACGCGGCAAGCCTTTTAACTGAACTTGCAACAACAATTTACTTTCCGAACCGTTTCGATCCTAGTCTATAGAGGAAAGTCCTCTATTATGAGATGGGATTCTAATATGAGATTGCAGGTTTTCGACGTCCAAATTCAATCACAAATCTTTCGCAACGATTACGCGATCTAACAATCAACTTTTCCCGAAACAGATTACACTCCAAGGGCAATAAATTCATGATGGAACCAACAGATGACGCCTATTAATTTAGCAGAAACTCCGCTATCTCATAATAGGAGGACTTCTCTCTAGTCAAATGTCAGGAATTAAAAAAAACAACTGCGCGCCGAAAAGAGTAACGTCAACGAGAGGAGTGAAGCAAAAGTCCCAACGATTCCGAGTCAAAAACGCTCACGGATTATTTCCTGCCTCGCATAAAAGCCTGTCATTTGAGGAAGATACTTTTTTCCCCAATTTTTATTCCCCCCCCCCCCCCGTTTACAGTCTTTATCAAGTTTTTAACTGTCGGAGAACGCGCCAAAGTGCCTCGCTATTTATAGACACTCCCGCGAGACGCTTTTTTCATCGAGCACGTCCATCCATCCTCATAAAGTGAAACATATTCCAGCGGCCTTGTATCACGTCTACTTTATCGGCAATATTAATGGTCTCACCTCAGTCGTAAGCGCGAGTCCGGCTATTATTCCTTGTATCAGCTCGCATTCCGATAGTAATCATTGTTTCCTTTTTTTTTTCCCTCCCCCTTCGCATCTTTTCCTCGTTAGCCGAGAAATACGTGGCGATTGTGCAGACGCGCTAATTTCACAGTACGTGTATTAGCGAAGTATTTACTTAATGACGATTTAATGCCGTAAAATCGACAGTTAATCGGTGACGAGCTGCTATTTCCCGTGAACCGAAAAGATTGTGCTCCGTTTAGCGTACACCGAGAAAGATGTCCGATTAAATGTAATCAAATGATCCAATAACACGGTAACAAATATATCCGATTAAATTGTACATCCGATGAAAAATGTGATCGGTTTTCGATCAAGTTTCATCGGTAACTGCATTTCATCGGATGTATCCATAATTTTATCGGTAAACGTAATCGGAAAAATTAACCGTCGGGAACGCTATTTGATCGGTTTATCCGATGGAAATTTTTCTCAGCGTATAGGATTAGCATTTCTTTGAGCACCTCATTTCAAGGAACATCGCCAATCCGTTTTTTCGGCTACCGATCTCATTCTTCCGATCTTGCGCAGCTAAGTCACGTAATTACCGTATCGCTTTACGATCGATCTTTTATACCGGCATGATGCCGAGTCAAGAAATCGATCGCTTCGAAGGTTCCGACGTTCCGATCGCTAATGCGCACGATCGCGACTACGCGCGATAGGTGGATTAATTGTGAGTTGCGTAATGAATCGCGAACGCGATCGGATCTGGATCTGACGTATCGGCCACCGCAGCGGATGCGTGGGTGCGAGACCCTCGCGCGGCGCTTCATAAATTCTCCGATGATTAAGCGCGTTCGAGGCCTGCGACAGCGACGGGAAGTAAGAATCGGATCGCGCTGACGAAGCAAACGGCGAGGAAGGGTGTTCTTCCAGATTGATGCAGTCGCGATCTGGACCAGTGATAATCAACCGGCGGTCCGCCATAAATTATCCCGTGGGAAGCGGCAGCGAATAAAACAACTAAACAGCCACGAACGAGCGGATGAACGTTATTCACTTTTTTTTTACGAGCACGCATCTATTTGTACTGGCTGCCGAGACACGAAAATATCGCGATACGGCTAGCAAGAAGCTGAGAGGTTGGCCGCCACTGCTCCAGATCTAATTATTCCGTAATGGCAAGCTACGGACGATGGACGTGATCGAGGCAACGTTTCGACTCGGAAATTGACTTACGCTCGCCGGCTCGCGTCGCGAAACGCAATTAAGACTTCGCTCAGCCGATACGTATTGATGGGGGGGGGGGGTATAAGAGGGGGGCGGGGAAAGTACCTTAATAGCCGGTAGAAGCACTTGGAGATCCTCGCCGACCACCAGCCTCGGTTCCTGCTCGCTATCTAGCTGAGCTTTCAGCAAAAATACACCGCGCTCCAAGATCAGGCTGAACATCTGCAGCGATACGACGAGCGCCCGTTCTTGGACCTCCGATCTATAGCCTTGTTCCATCTGAGACTCTGCAATAAAAAAATCACAATGACATGAATTCGCGCGCGTATATTTTGGTAGAAGGAAAACGACTCGAAATTTCACGGGGGAAAAAAAAACTTATCTTTCTAAGAGGGTGGTGGAGACGACGCCTTCGCACGAGAAGTGACACGAGTCAAAAATATGTGTGCGCTCGCCTTTTTATAACTTGTCAACTCAGGAACGTGTACTTTTGTCCAGAAAAGCGTTGCAAGGGTAGCGGCAAAAATTTCGTTCTCCGAAAAAGGGACCAACACGAGATCGTATCTCGTTGAAAAATAATGACGGCAGAGAGAAGGAACGTTTAAAAGAAAAATACGATTCTCACATTACGGGAGAAGATCTATCAAGGCAAGAAAAAGGGAAAAGATAAAAACGACTAGGTAGACAATGCGGTCGTAGCTGTGTACGATCTGCAAACAGACTGAAGGTTCATAATCGTTCTCCCGTAAAATTGCTATTTTTGCCACTCTTCTCGCGCCGAGACGATGTGTCGCTCTTGCAGGAACAATAGATATAGAGATAGCGTTAAGGTACACTTAAAGTTCTTTTAGCTCTAACAAGCAGTATCCTCTCTCTCTCTCTCCTTTTATCGCAGCCTTATTTCTCTCCTTCGCGTACGTTCAGCGAAAATTTACTTCTCGAGACTCGGGACTTTTATAACTGTCGTATTGAAGCAAGAGAAGTCTCCTCGAACAAACTTCATCTCTCGCACAATACCGCTGGATATCAGAGTCGTCGCTGAAGAATATCATTCCGATTGATTACGAAAGACTTTGCGAGGGCGGGGAAAGGATGCGCGAGGGCGCATCTACTGCGCGCGGCAATATCCGGGCGGCAAATTGGTGCCGATTGTTACACTGAAGGGGGCAGGGGGCGCGAGGGAGGCGCGTAAGTTAATGCCGGTAGCGATCACGTTTCGGTGATGATGATGATGATGATGGCTGATCGGCGCGCAATCTATTCGGCGTCGCGACCGGATTCGCCATCGGCGGCCGTGCGTTTCTCTCTTCGGGACTGTCATTACGCGCTGTATCGAAGCTACGTGACGGGACGGGGCTCCCGGCGGATTCAGAGGAGCGAAGGTCATGGCGCAACCTTCACCGCCGCACCACCACCGCTTCCTCCGGAGTCATTTCCAGACCGTTTCCCGAAGTGGTTCCCTCGGAGGGACCCGGCGCTGTACAACGAATCGATCCCCCGGCGAAGGAAAACAATTCCCCTCGGAAAGGTCAAACGATATCATCTATGAGAGCGGTTTAATTTGCAGTAACGGAAGTGCCGCACCGAATCTCGTCTCCTGTAGCTCTGGCCCCGGCGGGCGGATAAGCTTTGACTACTCCGTCTGTCCAATTACCTTCAAGCCGTGCCATTTCGCTGTAAAACGTTATCTTGATTTCCTGAAGGCGCGAACCCTCGTAAGTTTTACTTCGGAGCGAATAGTTGAATTAGAAAGCACGAGGGCAATGTCCGCAGGACTACTTATCGTGTCTTAAATCTCGGAGTCTCGAAGTAGAAGTCAAGTGAGATCGCGGAGTAGCAGAAGTAAGTTTATTAATACGACATTAGAATTGCACGGGAGTAAATAGATAAAATTAACGAGGCCGGGAAAACCGTTGAAAAATGAAACGTTATCTTACATTGCAATTCTCGATAATCGCCATGCGGATATTTTGCCGGACGCTACTACTTTGTGGATACCATGTTTGAATACTATACATCTTCGACGAAAGTCCCGTCGCTGCTTTACGCGTCTTTATTAGCGGGCTATAGCGAAGCTAATTAGACGAGCGTCGCTAACGATGGTGTAATGGATCCGTACAAGAGAACGCCACTTATCGGGACTACTGGCGTTTATCGCGGAAAACGGATAATGTAGTGGGTGCAGCAAGGTAGATACGAGTGGGCACTTATTACCAAGAAGGAGGAAGTTATCTAAAAATCCCTATTCCTACCTAAGATCTCTTAATACAGAAAACGCTGAGAATAGAGCGTAAAAATGTCAGATGAGAACGTTAAAATTAATTATAAACGCGATACATAAATTATGCAGGTATTAGACAAAAGTCCCCTACTGTGAGATAGACTTCTAATATGAGATAGCAGGCTCTCACGTCCAAATTCAATCACAAATCCCTTTTTCGCGACGATTACACCATTCAACAATGGATTTTCCACCGAACAGATCTCACTCCAAATCAATTGGTGCACGGAAAAGAACATTTTCGCTACCGTAACTAATCATTTGCACTAATGATTTGCTAAAAATATTTTGCGGTCGCACCTAATACAATAGGCGCGGTAGCAAAATATTAGCTAGCGCAACGAAATATTAGCTGATGCCTGTTACTTTAGCAGAAATCCCGCTATCTAACGTTAGGAGCTTATCTCACGATGGAGGGGGACTCTCCTCCGTTGTAAAAGTCTGAAACAATTTTGCGCGCGTACCGAAACATCCAAAGAAGGAAAGTAGCCGTAGGAGACTTACAACAGCGGACGGGGACTTCGCATGCATTAGTCGTCTCTATTTTTCGCTTGCCATAAAAGTTGGCGGCAACTCTAAAGACGTCCGAACATTCCGCTCACGCGCGATAGTAAGGGCGTGATTTCACGTTGCGCGTGTATGTGTGACGCGAATTAACTCTGCAGAATAGAAGGCTAACACAAATCTAACAAGCGGGAGAGTAGCGCACCGTGCCACGTCCGTGCCATCCTCCATCCACACAGGCGTCGTGCATACGCACAACGGCCATATTCGAAGGTAGACTCTGGCAGTTTAATTTATCGCGGACAGGGATAATAATTAGCGTTTAACCGCGAGGTCGCCCCGAGAAAGCCCGTGTGGTCTTCTACTCGTCGGGGATTCGGAGGGGGTGTAAAAGGGTAATTAGTTAGAGAAGATTTACAGGGAGAGGCTTTAACTAATTGCCACCGCGATCATTAGCGAAACTCAGGCGTATCGCCCCGCGTCGACCTGTCGACGATCTCCTCGTCTCTCGCGCGAAAAAAAAAAGAGAAGAAACAATCCAACTATGATCGTTAATTCGCGAACAAACGCGAACAAATGACTATCTCGACGCGGCGAACGTTGTAGAAAACATTCATATTTATAGCAATCGACGCTATCGAGATGGCGGCGAATGGTCTTCTCTCCGAAATATACGCGGTAACGAACGTCGCAAGGCCAACGAACTTCGCAAAAGGTGCGTACACTTCCTCTTATCGAGATCCTTAACTAACGAAGCAAACGCGACAACGAGATCCCGCGCGGAACGAGAAGTGCTTTTAATGAAGCCGGTGGGTAAGTTCGGTCTTCCTGTTTCCCGGGCCGATATTAACGCCGCGAAAACGGACGGAATCGAGTTAGCCGAGCTGCGCGCGGGTAATTCGATTATTAACGATTCTCGCAGACACCGTCTCTAATTCAATGGATTCGCGGCGCGCCACCGCGATATTGCGTTTTCACGAAATATTCTCCTTTAGTGTCAAATGAAACTCGCGCGAAGAGTTTACCAAAAATGAATCCGACGCGTTGACGCGCGAACTCTCAAGAGAGTGCGTTTTACGGTCCCGTATCTTTCCTCGCTTCGAAGTATCCGAGCGCTTTTACGAGTCGGTAAATATTTCGTTCATTTACGTAATACTATGTTGGGCAGAGAAATAAAAAAAGAAGGGTATCTCTCGGACGTAGCATTACGTAATTCGTATTTAAACGTCTTCTTTCCCCATCACGCATTCCCCAATTTCCTTTTGTGGAGGGACTTGTTACGTTTTTAGTGCCCGTTTTTACATATCTCTTCGGGCATTCGAAAACGATCGGTTTTTTTTCCACCTCGGTGTTTTGATAGTTGTTGGGGTCCTTAAGCGGTTAACGGTGAGGACGGTAATAACCGATCGCCGCGGCAGTATCGGCGATACCGTTGTCTCTGACGGATGGAACGCACTTTTTCCGAAGCCGGCAAATCCGCGGTACACGCATGGGGAACGCACTCGTTAATTCGGTTACCGCCCCGTGCCCTCTAATAACGACCGAGGGGAATACGAGAGAGCTATTGTTTAAGGATAATCACGTCTTAATGGCCGGCAGGAGAGCGTAATGTATCGTTAAATGTAGCCGTAATGCGGAGAGCAACCGGGTCCGCGCCAAGTGTAGGATGATTTTAATGGCCGCGAATATCTCGACCGCGAGTGTTTTACGTATTATTTAAGCAGCGCGGCGCAACGCCCGCACGCACGCGGATGCGGACGCGTACAGGCAGCGCGCGCTCGTTTTGCGGTTTAACGTTTCAATCCCCGCTACTGCGTTTTACCCGCATTTATCGTGCGTTGTACCTCCCTCCCGCATCCTCCTCCTTACGAGTCGTTAACGGCTATTATAGAGATATTACGCGGCTCGCGCGATACCGCACAACCTCCACTGCGTTGTATCGGTGGAGAACACGGTTTCTTTTTCGCGAGTAACGCTCGATACCAACGTTAATCCACTTGTGAAATGGGTATCGACGGCCAAGCGAAGTTTATACACTTTCAAGGAAGATTTTCAAGAAATTCCATCGCGGAATATTTAATCCCGACTCAAAATCCGACGTGCATTAGACGACAGTATATCTCCTTCCTTAAGACTTTAAACGTCCCGAGTCAAACTTTTGGCCCTATGTTGAACCTCTAATTCTATTATATGACAGTAAAAGAGATCGAACTGCAGGTACAAAATTTACTCCTACTTTAGAACTAACAGTGTCGGAAATTTCTGCTTTTGCCAATTTAGCATTAAAGTAGGTCCTTTTAAGTAGGGGCTAAAGTAAATTTTTAGAATTAAAGATTCAAGGGAGAAGTAAAAAATATAATGACATTAAAGTAGGTTATTGCTGGTCTAAGTAGATGAATAGATCAGCTAAGTAGGTGTAAATTATCCTTAAAAGTGTCAAAATAGTACGAAAATTTCGACTCGTGGTGAATTTGTAATTCTTTCCTTTATCCCCAAATGATT